GGGAGGGAAAACAATTTCCCTAGAAAAAAGCCTATCAAGCATGACAAAATGGTGGAAATGAAAAATGTTTTCCATTTTCCATGGAAAAAGCTTTATATCAAACATGGCCTTATTATTTCTTGGATAACCACATCGCTCGAGCGTCAGGCCAACGACAGTGAGTGACAGCTGAGTAGTCGTCAATATCGTTATTGTAAAATTCTCACATGATGTCCGATTGAAATGATTCAAATTGTGTAAGAAAACTAACTCAATGGGCTACAATTCTTTTGGAAAATATCATTCTCAGAATTCGAATGTTTTCCATGTGACAAATGCGTTGCAAGTTACGAATAAAAATTTGGGGCATAACTTGTGCTACTTTTTAACACTTTTTAGACTTTTACTTGCATTTCAATGATCATATGTGATCTTCCTGAACATTTTAAACTCCTTTAGGCACTATAATATCAACTCCAACTCTTTTGACTTTAAGGGTCCGTTTGATTGTAAGATAGAAATTGGGTGGAAAAGAAAACGAATTTCAGGGAAAATAATTGCCCATAAATTATTTTCCCGGGAAATGTCAATTAGTTGCGTTTGATTAGTATAATTTTTCACTTAAAAAATAGTGAGATTTTCCATCTTTTGATGTTTGATCGACGTGGAAAATTAACAAAAAAATTTCGACAATCGAGGAAATGTCTTCCCCAACGCCCCAGTTCTACTTCACCACTGACTAATCCAACTCTAACAATTTCTCCAGCATCAACGCCTCTTCCTACTCCAACAATTCTCCATCAAATGCAAGCCCAACTCCCCCAGCTGTAATGGTTGAGCTTGAATCTCAACCCAAAACCAACAATTCCAACAACAATAACACAAAAATTGAAAAGGAAATTCAGTATATTATTTGCAATAAACAAATTAATTACAGCAATTAGTAAGAAATTAGGGAGAGATTGATCAAAGAGAAAGGGTTTTTTTCACCTTCACCGGCGGTCGACACCTTTTTCTCAGCTTCGACGACCACGACAACCGAGATATCACTAGGCGACACCATGGCTGTTGGCGCCCTCCTTCGCCACTGGAATCGACAAACATTACGGTCCGACCGCAAGTGCGTTTCTAGGGAAATCACTGCCAATGAGGGAAATCGTGAGGGGAAAGACCTGGCCTACACCACGGCGACCTCCACTCGGGGTCGGTGAGGGAAATCAAGGCTGCAAGGATGGGATTCGTGAATTCCATCTTTGGTGGAAAATGAATTTCCTGGTGAAGGAGGGGAAAATGTTTTCTTTCATTTGGAGGAAAATAAGGCGCGTGAGGGTTAAAGTGGAAAGTATTTTGACTGGAAAATTAAACATATCAAACATGTTAAAAAGTGGGAAATGGAAAATGTTTTCCTAGTTACATGGAAAATTTGTTATATCAAACAAGGCCTAATTAGAATTCAATAATTCATATTTCGACTTTGATTACAATTCGATAAACTTCTACTACAATTCAACTGGAACTTAATTTTGATTAGTGAAATTGCCAATTACAAATTTGAAAATGATTAATTATAATTTGAACTTAATTGTTTCGACCATCATTCATATTGTGAACGTCAAGTGAAGCGTGATGTCTAAGTCTATTTTGAGGTGGAATCAAGAAAAAAGAGTCGATTTGCCAATAAAACACAAGAAAATTTGTTATATAAGAAGAGTTTAAGATTTTGGATTATGGAATATGCATGGTAAAAAAATAAAAATACAGTTTTGGCTGTTGATGAGCAACCATAGTTTGAAATTAATAGAGCTGATCTATTCTTTCTAGACGTTTTGATTTCCGCAACAATATAACAAATTGTGGATTCTGGTCGTTAAAAGCTTAACAGTAATCAACATATAAAAAATTACGTTATTTTTTTAACAATGTCGATATTTCAAGTTAGAAATCCAACACTCAATATGGTGTCGAGGTAGGTAAAGGAGCTAAGTTCAAAAATATTGTTACCCATTTGATAAAATTGTGCATGTACCAATGGTTTGATGAAGAAGAAGAATAATAATAATAATAATAAAACACTAACACCAATAATAAGCTATTCAAATTAATTTGCAGTACAATTTTGCCCAAAACAAGTGACACTATGGTCAAAGTTTAAATTTTGCGTTGGATAGAAATATAAATTATTCGACTCCCCAGGAAAAAAAAAATAGACCTTTTATATCATTCAAAAATGTGGGAAAATCACTCGAGGAATCAAAATTTATTAACAAGTCACTTTTGACCACTTTCGACGATTAGTTTAAGTTTCGACATGATCATTAAACTTGTCTTGTCGAAAGACGACAAGGCACCATCAATATGAAAGTTTTCGCATAATAAAGAAGCTATTTGGCAATGATTCAGGTCAAAAATACTAAAGGAAAAAATATAAAAGAAATTTAAAAGGCTAAAATATCTTTCCTTTTAACACTTTTTTTTTCTTTTTCTAGATTATTTCATTTTTATTAATTAGTGGACTGCTAGGCCCAACACAATCATAATGGGCCCAATTTTACAAGTCCCAATGTGTTTTAAGATGTTCTATATAGGGTCCGTATCTCTCTCTCTCCTAATTTCTTTGATTCCAGTGCTGCGGCATACATATTGGACAAAACCCCCCTGCAAATTGAAGAAGTTTCAGCTTAATTTCAGTTCACGGACTCGACTATTAATTCGTGTTATTAGAGGTAATGACTTTTCTTTCTATTTCTTTTGGAAAAAAATTATAATTCATTGTGAAATTAATTGAAGATTTCGCTCATATCTTGCATTTTGCTCTCTGTGTGGGGGCAAGTTTAGGTTTTGCGAGTTAGTTTGTGAAATTTTACTCGAATTTTTTGTGGGTTTTAATCATTTATTCATATGTTCGGTTCTTAAGGTCAACTATAGATATGGGGATTTCTTACGCTTAGGGTTTCTGGTAAATTTAGAAAATTGTCGTGTTTCTAAGATTTTTATTCAACCCATCTTCCCATAGACTTTATTTTGTGAATTCCTCAATTGTTATCCTTCTTTTGAAAAAAAAAACTAATCGTGAAATTAATTAAATATTTTACACAAATCTTGCATTCTACATGTGGGGAAAGTAAGTTTCGCCAGTCAATTTGTAATCTTTTACTCGAATTCTTATGGGTTTTCAATTTTTTATTTATCTGTTGGCTTCTTATGGTCCACTGTAGATCTGGGGATTATTTTACACACAGGGTTCTGGTAAGTTTAGAAAATTGGTCGTGTTTCTAAATATTTATTCATTTTCTTGGCTTTAATCTGTGAATGCAGGTTCGATTTTGCGAGGCACTTTCCCATAACTAATTGTTGCTTGTCTTGTCCTGTGTTGCACTCATATTTGATCCAATCTATCTGCGTAAGTTTTACCGTATCCATTTGTCCTTTGCTCATGGAAACTAAGAAAATCATAGCCATATGCCAATCCGGAGGTGAATTTGTGGCCGACAAAGATAATGGATCGTTGTCTTACACCGGTGGGGAAGCTTATGCTCTGAGCATTGATGAGAAGACACAGTTGAAAGATTTCAAGCAAGAACTGTCTGAGAATTTTCAATGCAATGTTGATGGCATGACGATCAAGTATTTTCTTCCTGGAAACAGAAAGACCCTTATTACCATATCTAAAAATAAGGACCTCCAGCGTATGCTCAACTTCTTCAAGGATTCTGACCAAGTTGAGGTCTTTGTAGCTGGTCCTCAGAATGTGCCCAACATGCCTGCTAGTAGGTACTTGTACCATTCCTTTTATTCTATCCTTAGCATGAACCAACCTCTTTGATTTTGCCTGCAACTAGAGTAAGAAATGGCACTGGTGTCTTATTGATTATTAATTTTTTATACGTGAAGAAGCACCAACGCTTTTATACTACATCCATGGCGGAGTGTCGTTTATACTAGTAATGAAAAGTACGACCTAAACTGATGAGAAAACAGCTTTAACCAACAAGATAATAAATAGATCGAAAGGATAAGGGAAATTGTGGAAGGCTGAAGTAAACACTAATGATTTGTGCTTTAAATATAAATTCCAAAAATTTCTAGACTGAAACTTGGAAGCCTAAGCTTCGATCACTAGGAAAGGGTCTAAAAACTACTGTCACCGAGGCTCTAGACGTGCGATCTACTATGTTATCAATGCTGTTTTCACGTGAAGGAAAATGAGACACATTTTATACAGTATGTCTTCCAGCATGTTTGTTTTGGGCCTTGAGACTTGACCAAACTGAGTTTGCACTTGTGATACCAACGGGGTTACAAAAATTTCCTTTGAATGCTTAAAAATCTTATTATCTGCTTTTTATGCAGATCAAGCAGAACAACTGTGTCTGAGGCAATGATTCCTTCTGATGATCCTATGGATATTATGCAAGATGATGATGCAATTGTTTTGAATGAGCCTATTGAAACTACACAACTCAAAGTGACTCCATTCAGCAATGAAGAGAAGCATAGGAGAGCAGCAACCCAGTGGGAGAACATCATCACTGGTGTGGACCAAAGATTTAATAGCTTTGCCGAATTCCGTGAAGCGCTGCATAAATACTCGATTGCTCATGGATTTGATTACAAATATAAGAAAAATGACAACCATCGTGTAACTGCCAAGTGCAAAATGGAAGGCTGTCCATGGCGTATATATGCATCGAGGGTGGCTGCTACCCAACTAATATGTATTAAGATTATGAATGCCGAGCATACATGCGGAGGAGCTACCATAAAAGCTAGACAGGCAACTAGGGGATGGATAGGGAGTATTATAAAGGAAAAATTGAAAGTTTCTCCAAATTACAAGCCAAAGGATATTGCCAAAGAAATCGAGCGTGATTATGGCATTCAGTTGAACTATAGTCAGGCAAGGCGAGCAAAGGAGTTTGCACGGGAGCAGCTTCAGGGCTCTTATGAAGAGGCATACTCTCACTTACCATTTTTCTGTGAGAAGATAATGGAGACTAACCCAGGTAGTCTTGCTACACTAACCACTAAGGAGGACTCAAGCTTTCATCGCCTTTTTGTTTCATTTTATGCCTCAATAGCTGGTTTTCGTCAATGCCGCCCTCTTCTTTTTCTTGATAGCACTCTTCTTTACTCAAAATATCAAGGAATATTATTAGCAGCAACAGCTGCAGATGGGAATGATGATTTCTTTCCTGTTGCCTTTGCTGTGGTAGACGAAGAAACTCAGGATAACTGGCATTGGTTCTTGTCAGAACTGAAATCTACCTTTTCAACATCAGAACAAATTACTTTTGTCTCTGATTTCCAGAAAGGTATAAGAGAGTCATTGCTTGATATATTTGGCAAAGAGTGCTATCATGGTTATTGTCTACGTTGTCTTGCTGAAAAACTTAATAAAGATGTGAAAGGACTTTCACATGATGCAAGACGTCTCTTGGTTCAAGATTTATATGCTGCTGCTTACTCAGCAAAACTTGAGGCTTTTGAGCGCTGTCTTGAAAATATAAAAGCTATATCAGCTGAAGCTTATGATTGGGTCATTGGGAGCGAACCCGAACACTGGTCTAATGCATTTTTTGGTGGTGCAAGATACAACCATATGACATCCAACTTTGGTCAACAGTTCTATAGTTGGGTATCCGAGGTGGATGGGTTTCCAATAACTCAGATGGTTGATGTATTGCGTGGTAAGATTATGGAGTTGATGTATAGAAGACGACTTGAATCCAGTCATTGGGTTACGAGGTTGACACCTTGTATGGAGGACAAGCTTCAGAATGAGACGGCTAAAGCACAATCCCTCCAAGTATTACAATCAATTGGAAATGGCACATTTGAGGTTCGTGGTGAATCTGTTGTTGACTTGGTTGATGTCGATAAATGGGACTGTAGTTGTAAGGGATGGCAGCTTACTGGATTACCTTGCTCCCATGCTATTGCTGTTTTTGAATGCGTTGGTAGGACCCCATACGATTATTGCTCCAGATATTTCATGACTGACACTTACCGCTCAACTTACTTGGAGTCAATCAACCCAATACCAAACGTGGAGAAACCAGAAAAAAGTGAAGTTTTTGTTACTCCTCCTCCTACTAAACGACGAGTTAAACCAAAGATTAAACCAGTTGAACTTATGGATAGCATTAAACGCCAGCTCCAGTGTCGCAGGTGCAAGGGCCTGGGCCACAATACGCGAACATGCGAGTAAGCGTCTTTTTCTTAACACTTTATGTTGCATTTATGGGACACATTTTTACTTAATTGGGGCATACATTTTTGTCTTCGGGATTACTTTGTGTTTGTGTTAACATATCTAGGCATTTAAGGATTGTCATTTATGTGCATGCATGCCATTTCATCATTTCATTGTGGCACTTCTCTGTTTATTGCAATACGTTCTTTAGTTCTAAATGAAGAAAAAAAAAAAATGATATTTCCACAATACTAAAGATGACCTTCAGTAACTGATTTTTATTTACTGGAAAATTTCGTGGATTGCTTTGTTCCTTTTTAAGTTCAAAGAATTGTCATCTGTTTTAGCTAATGAAGTTTCTTGTCATTTGTTAACATCAGTCTCTGCTCACATTTTTCTGCACCCACATATTGAGTAGCACATTGTTTTGGAATACTTTTTGTATTCTGAAGAAACGTATTTGGAGAAGTTTTACTAAAACTTGCTTTGCGTTACTTGTTTTTGAGAAAAAAAATTATCATTTAGTCTGTGATACTTCGTTGTTCTTTGACTACATACAGAATATTTGATCTCATTATATTTTTGTTAACTGAATAGCATTATTTTTGTTGTTTCGCTCTCCTCTTCCCCACCTTTTGATTGTTTTTACAGCAAAGTGAACAACAACTTGCTTGAAGAAGAAGCGCATACCCTTACCCCACTTTTGACAGGGATGACCACCGATGAACCTACTGATGGAGGCAGCATTTGAATTTGGATATCTCCCTTTTCAAAGAATGTATCTGTTCTGGTGATGTTCTTTCTGATGAATATTTTAGATGAACACTTTCGTTTTGTTAATAAGAAATTCTTTTCTACTACTTTTTCATCCATATTTAAACCGGTTTCCTGCTTTTGAACAGTAGATATCATGGATGAATGCGGTGGTGTAATAGGTTATATGGTGCTGAACTGGTTATTTCTACTAGTTAATATGTTGGCATAGGTTAAATATCTCAATAGTCACACTACTTTCGATGTTGTTTTCAAATATCACTGTACTTTTAACGTTGTTTTCCGTCCATTATTCCATCTCCTTCCATTTGAAAATTAAAAATTTTGATGGCGTTCCAAACAGAATCGTTGATGGAGAACAACACTAAAAGTACTGTTGAGAAATAACTTTGAAAGCATAGTGACTACTTGGAAACAGCCAATAAATTTGTTTGTGGTAATATTGCTGAAAATATAAAAAGTTCGTTGTATGAAAAAAATGAAGGCTAGTGATTAAAGCTACCCGTTCGAGTTTAAGAGAGAATAATTTTCAATATGACTTTGCTTTGCGATCAACAAAGGCACAAGGACAAGCAGTACCTCATGCTTTGCAAACACGTCTTCTCTTATGAGTAAATGCAAACAACAAAATTATATTTAGGCACGTTTGATTCCTCTTTTTTTTCATGGAAAATGAAAATTAAATTTCATTTTCGTCTTTTTGCATATTTGATTGACTAAATTTTTCATAGAATTTGTTTTCCACATTTTCTTGATTTTTGAGGAAAAACTTTTCCCATGGGTTTGGTGGGAAAAACTTTTTTTTTTTTTTGCAATTTAAACAAATTTTACCCATTTAATGGACAATTTCCATAAAAAACAAAGTCAAATGAACACCAAAAGATCCAAAATTTCAATATTTTTCAGGTGAAAAATTATATCAATTAAACAAAAATAATTGACAATTTCCAGTAAAACAAGTTCTAGACAATTCAATTTCCTGGAATTCATTTTCTTTTCACCCAAATTTCATTCTAGCAATCAATATGGCCCTTAGTTAAATTAGAAAACAAAATTAAAGAGATGTAATGTAGACCGATTGTCATTTTTTCATAAACATCGCTACACAATTTAGACAGTAAATGTGGTTTACTTAATCCTATTGTTAATGATCACTCACCACATTCTTACATATAGTTCATGTTTGGTTCAACTTAAAAAATGAATGAAAATCTAAGTTAAAATCAACAATAATCATAATCAAACTTGGGTGATTACATGAAAGATACCAAGTTTCGTCAGTTTGAAAGAGGAATGTAAAAAAGTTATAAAATTTGTAACGAAATTGAAGTTTAGTGATTCAATCGCTATAAATTAAAATTTAATAACTTAATTGATATGTTTCCAGAAGTTCAGTGACTGGTCTGAAATTTACCCAATTTATAAATAATATATACGATACACCTGTACGCGCCATTACGTGACTGCATATCATTTTTCCATTTTGGAAGGCAGTGAAAATGAATAAAAGGAAGACGCCACCAAGCGGTTCCAGCAGTCTTTACGCCTTCACCTCTTTTAACTTTACTCTTGTCGGTTTGATCCAATTTCTATTGTAATTCCGACCTTCGATTCATCTGGTATGTACCTATACATTCTCAGTTTTTTTCTCTCTTTAAATTTACATATCTAATTTTGTTGTAAAAAAATATAAATTCTGCGATTCCTTTTATGTTGTAAGTGTGAGTATTTAATTTCCGCTGGATTGAAATTTTTCTTATTATTATTATTTTTTAGTTTAGGAATTCAATTATACGATTGTTATCATTTTTTGTGTGTGTGTTTTACAATTATACATGCATTTGAATGATTTTTAGGTATATTCTTTGGGTTAACGTTGTGGATCTGAATTTATCCTTGAAATTGAAGTCGACTTTGTTATTTTTTCATCTCTGGATCCCCGTCTTAGAGTTTTTATAAATTCCGCGTTAGTTCGTTCCTATAAAACGCATTGATTTTTGTGTCCATCTTTCTTTTTGCTGATATTCACGAAGTTGAGTGTTTTTTCTTAAAATTAATTTCTTTTCACGGTCAATGTTGTCCGCATAATTACTCAACATTATCAAGAAGATTAAATCGATCAGTTGCTTTATAACATATAATTTCAAACTAGCTTTCTTAAACTGGATAAAATTTAAGAAATATAACTGGTTATCCGATTATCAAGGTTGGGTAAACATTTTCTTATTTCAATTTGTTAAATAGTTCTAAACCTTGATTTGTTTGTCCTCTTTAAAAAATAAAATGCATTTTTCCTATATAATTACTATTTAGGCCAGTCAAAATAAATAATGCAAATTACAAAAGCATCACTGTTTGGTGTGTGTAATCTTCATAGTATAATTTAGCGACTCACCTGAAAGAATCCCTTCTCCCCCTTCTCTCGAAAGTTGAAATTATTCTAAACAAAATTTATTGATTATGTAGCTGTGCAGACCAAAGAAATCTAGTCAATGCTACTCACTTTTGGTGATTTGTTATTATCGTTTTTGAATAGGAATTCATTCTGGTGATTAGACAAATATTACACCGGTGTCAATCATTCTACTGCACTTAACCCTTGATTAGGAATTTGACTAGCTGCTCTCTCCCTGGATGGTTTAGCCTTGGAAACTTACTCAAACATCCAGTATTTACGCTAATTGTCACACGAACATTTCATGCATAGAGGATTCAAACTAATCCAAATTAATCACATGAATAAATTAGCAGTTACTGGAGCTAACTTGGCACAAAATCTTTAGGTAATGGCTGAAGAATCTAAAAAGGATGTTGGGGAGTCCCCTACATCTACAGACACCGAGGTTAAGACGACAAAGAAGAAGGGAATACTATCAAGAATGTGGAATGCACTATTTAGATTACGTGGAGATGATTTTGAGAAGAAACTGCAACACATAACCAAGGAAGAGGTTGCTGTTCTTGCCAGAATTAGAAGACGTTCTCAGCGTTGGCGGTGGATGTCTCGTAATCTCATTATATTTTCTGTACTATTGGAGGTACATCAGCCCTTCTCCATACTATTCAAATTATTGATGAGATGGAGATGTGATTTGCTGCATATAATATCGTAGCCTTACTATCACCACTTTTGCATGGCACACCCATCACCTTACTATATGGATGTAAAAGTTTGGTAATTCTTCAAAACATATACTAGGTATAAAAGTTAAATATTTATACCCGCTGGAAGAAAATATTGCTAATGGCTGTTACTAATTCAAATTCACAGTGTCCACCCACTCAAATCATGTAGCCCAGTACTTTTCTTATAGAGTTCGTCCTTTGTATTTTCAAAAAGAACTTGATTTTTCTTAATATCTTCTCACTCCTAGTACTCATGAAAATTTTAATGTCAAAATCTCGATTGATTGATCAAAGTGATTAGCTCCAGTAGACCCATAGATCATGATACAAATAAGGTGTGTAGGGCCAAGCTCCACACTAGATGTATAGATGTGAACTTCCTCATTAGTGTACGTTCAATTATCACCATACGTGGCTCGCACAAAGTTGCCCATCCTTTTTTTTCCATCAGCCTAATCTGCTCCTTTATTCATGTAAGGCAGCCACCCCCATGTTTTTTCTCCTCTTCATTCGTGAAGACTTATGATTTTGCAGTTTAAATGATGCTTCATGCACTCGATCTCTTCCTTCTTGTATCATATAAAAGCTTTTTTTTTTTTTTTTCAAATTTGAAATTTTATCAAATTGCCGCCATTTCTTTTGAGGCTGCCACTTATTGCATCTTCATGATGATGTGTCGTCACTGCTACAAATAAGCTGGTAAAAATGCCTTTCCTATATGATTCTTTGTTACGCGGTTATTCATAGATATGCATTAAATATGACCCTCTCATACTCAGGAAAAAAATTGCCAAAATGTTTGATGTCATAGACATGGTGTTTCTTTTAGAAATGGAGAATTGATGTTTTTTGGATGGAAGGAATAATAGACAACAAGTAGAAGACCAATTATCAAATAAAAATGTATAATTGCAGTCATCATTTCTTTATTAGTATTTCTAAAAGGAGATGTTATGAAATTATATCTGTTTGTTAGTAAATTATAGAAGAACAACATTTAATACATTCTGAATGGCAAGCATGTGGTTTTATGGAAATGAATTTAGTTGCACTTATTTTCTGGATGAATAAGAACTTCATGAAACATATGATTCAGCTTCTATGCAATAATGAGTGTATACTATCTTACTGTCTCTAACTTTCTCGCTGGGATCATGCATATTTAAATCATTATTACTCTTAAAAAGTCTTTGTAATTTCCTACTCAATATCGCTCTGTTATTATAAATCAATTGATGAATGGAACAAGCCTGGAACTTTGTTAACTTACAAGCTGCTTTGACTTCGCTTGGTGATGAAAAGATCACTTGATAAGATGGAGGATACTGCCCTTCGGAAAACTCAAAATGTCTGGCTGATGAAGAGAAGAGTATTAATATATGCCTTAACTGACTTGATGATTTAGAGGACATTGCAACTTTATTTTTTCTAGTTGCATACTTTCCTTTTTCAAGGAAAGGGCTAGTCTCCTTTTTCTTTAAATATTCTCATTTGGAAAGACTTTTGAGGTCATTTATATTAGTTATTCTACTTCATGAAGGTGGGGGCAGAACTTTTTGTTCCCTTACTTTTGGCTTTACTAGATGTAGCACTATGCATGCATCAAATTGGAATTTTGGACATAAATTTTACAATTCTTAAGAAAAGAATCATCGTATAGGATACCACTTTATATTGCCATGATCACCAATTCAAGTCCATGTATAGGTTGAGTTGAGAAACCCATGCTGCCTGAACAGTGGATGCTAACAAAGCGTCCGTTTGGCCCCCATTAATTCACATTTTGCATTTTCAGTTTCAAAATAAATGGGCCCGCCGTGTTTGAATAAAGTGTGAATTGGTGACCAAAATCGGGGCTATTTTGACTTCTGCATCCACCTTATATGTTCAAAAAAGTTATTGATTTCCAATTTTACCCTTTCATTACATTTTTCCACATGGCAATTCCTTTAAGTTGGCGCGGGGGTAGTAATGTAATTTTGACTTGTAAAAGGAGGGTAACAGCGTCCACCATGCTTCCAACGGCAAAGTTGATATTTATGTGTGTGTGACGAAGTTGTCCTACGTTCACAATTTTTTAATGATTATGTTTCTGTAGCAAAATGTAGAAAGGCTGAATTATCTCATTAAAATGAGATTCGGAGGCAAAGTCTCCACTCAAGTAAGTTTCTTGAAAGGTCCTAGTACATGATTTTATCTCATGCAAGGTTTTTTTTACTGTTCACATTCTGGGTTGTCTCCAGCATTTCTGGACTTGCAGTGTCATCACCAAATGAGTATGTTGGTTCAAAACATGGGAATCTGTAGATAAAATCTTCCTTGTCATTTCACTATAAGAAATATGCGATCTTGCCTTGGCAGTTAAGTGGAAGCAATCAAGGATAGTAGCTTTTAAAATTGAAGGTGCGAGGTTTTCAAAAAATATAAACAAAAGAAAAAATCAAAGGTGCGAGACTGCCTTTTGATTATTGATATAATATAATTTGATTGATTAAATGATATATACAAAATAAAAAATACTGGCGAAGAGAACACTAGACGCAAAATGCAGCTTGCCTCTTAGGGGCAGTGTTCATTCCCTACTATAAAGGTCCAAGAATCTAAGTGTGGAGCCCTTTTATTATTACGAAAAATGTCTTTAATCAGTTATGTTGAAGTTCAGTTTTGAATCCATGGACCATGCCATCAGCTCTGTAATCTCTATGTCATCATCCATGTGTCATGACTACAAGTCTACAACTTTGATTCTAGTGAGTGAAATTATGCAAACAGAAAATTTGTCCTGAAAATGCACATTCTTATGTGTACTTCACGCGTCAAACTGCAATTTAGTGCTCGTATTTAGTTATTTCATGTGTTATAAATTGACCGGATACGGAATCTTGTCAAATTCGCTATGGCATTGAATGGCCTCCGATTTTGATGTTTCTCTAGCACAAGAGGGTTGAGACGGGGACTTTCTTTCTCATATATTCCTAAGCTTTTTATGGAAGAACTGGTATTGGAAAGAAAGAAAGAAAAAAAGCTGAAGGCTTGTGCAGTCACTGAGAGGGTTTTAGTGGCTGCATGACATGAAGTTGATATTAACCATTTATTCCTAAGCTTGTCGTGGAAGCACTAGTACTGGAAATACAAAAAATGGAAAGAAAAAAAAAAGCTGAAGCCTTATGGGGTCACTCAGAGGGTCTTAGTGGCTGCAAGAGATGAAGTTGATACTAACCTGGCTAAACACAAGTGCAAGGATGGAGAAACATGGGCAACTTAACAAGGCAATGCCTCTCTACTGGAGGAGCACTCTCCTTTAGTGATGCTTGTATAACGATAATGTATAACTGAAAGGTAATAGAATATTGACTACTACCCGATCGACAAACTGTGATGGATGCTATATGACAATGCATAATTGCTTCTTAGTTGGGTTCAGTCCTGACACTGGTGAGAAGGCCTAAGCTTGAAACTTTATTCTATTTCATCGATTTAATCTTGCTCAAATTTGATTGTGTAAAGGAATAGTATAAGAATGCAGTACAGTTTCCCGTATTGATACTAACTTCCCCGGAAGTGTATTGGGCAAAAAGGTATTATTATCAGCAAATAGGCCTTTGCATGAATAGCATTTACAAGTCTTTTTCTTATTGAAGATTCTATATTTTATGAACATGCTATATATTCTCAACTTTTTATAACGAATTACTGTGCAAATTTGGTTCATTTGTTACCAAAATATATGAATTAAGGACTTATATTATGATCCTTAATGTTTGTGTTGGAAAGTAAAGCATTTATGTTTGTTCCCGTGCTCGCATAATGTAATTTGTTTCTGTGAGTGTTGTGGCTTAGTATGAGGTTATCATAATTTTTTATTTTCAGTTAATTGCAGTGGGTTATGCTATCATGACTACAAGATCATTAGACTTGAACTGGAAAATGAGGGCATTGCGAGTCTTGCCTATGTTTCTTCTGCCAGCATTATCTTTCATTTCTTATTCAGCAGTAGGAAGCTTCACAAGAATGTGTAAGTATTCCAGCCAGTCTATTTCTACACTTGTAATGAACCTCATTAGTGAGTTTTAATGTTTAAGCATTCCAGCTGGTCTATTTCTGCACTTATAATGAACCTCATTAGTGAGTTTTAGTTTTTTCTACCTATATTATTATTATTATTATTATTATTATTATTATTATTATTGTGCTTTTTAATGTATTTGTCCATGTTTTGGGTTGCTTTTTAATGTATTTGTCCATGTTTTGGGTTGCCTTTGATGCATGTAATAATGCTTTACTGCTTTTTCATAGAAATAAATTTAAATGCTAAGATTGATAGGTTAATCAATTTCAGTTCATATTGAAAAGGCTAACTTTTTGCAATATGAATAGAACGGAGTATTAAGTGGAATATGTCCACGGATGAATCAATGCCATTCTTACATTAATCAGACTTAAAAGAGTTAACAACCTTTGCTTGCAGTGATATAGTTATATTGGTTGTCATTACATGACCTCATTTTGGAATTCATGTTTTACCAGAGATCCAAAACATGGGAATTTGTATTGTTGAACTAGGATCTGATGTAACTGAGTTAATAGGTTGAGATAAGTGGATATTTCTGGGTCTATTGGATCATTAGGATAACTTTATTTACTGAGTTTGAAATATTCCACTCAATACCTTCTCATATATGATTGTGGGTGTTGGCTCAATGCTAAGGTTTTGTGACCTTTAGGTACTTGTTTGTGCTGCAAAAGGTAATTAGAAATTGAGTAACTTTACTTTTTAATGAATTTATAAATGTTCTGAAAGGATCTTACATACATACTTTTCCATGAGTGCACTTCATTAAGGAAGCTTGCCACTTGTATTTTTTATCTTAGGTAAGATAGTGGTGTTAAATTATTTCCTATTTTCACACACGGTTTCTTAGGTGATCGGAAGGACCATAAGACTTTGGAAAAGCTTCGGACCGAGAGGCAAGCAAAAATAGATGAACTCAAACAGAAGACAAATTACTACACTACCCAACAGCTTATACAGGTGATAACTGCAAGCTAGCTGCATTTTCGCATTTATTGATTCATTTATTCTTCATGCATGGAGTTCGCACCAAGCTAGCAGTGCAAGTGGTTGCAAAATATTCAGGCTAGAAATATGGTTTATTTCTCTCAGTAGAGCATGTTTGGCTAAGCTTAATAATAGTACTACAGTTATCTCTGAACTAATTTCTTATCTTTAAATATGTTTGGATAACATTTTTTCTTATTTCTAATTAGAAAAGGTTATTTTTAAAAAGTAACTCTTACCTTACTGTGAGCATTTTTATCTTTGACCAATAAAATAATTATTTATTTTAAAACATATTTAAGCAAACATGCTCTAAGTTGGGTTTCCGTGATGTCCTTATAACCAACATGCCATCCCTCTTATAGTTGATTTGGAATGTACTAGATTAGATCCTTATATCGAGTCTTCAGTGCAGAGGTACGACCCTGACCCGGCAGCCAAGGCAGCCGCTGCAAGTGTACTTGCATCCAAGTTGGGTGCTGATTCGGGTCTGAAAGTATATTTTGGGGAAGAGAATAAGATGGATGCCCCTACTGGAAAGAGCAATGATGTGGAAGTTGCAAGGACTACTGGACTTCGTAACAGGAAGGCATCTAACTCTAAATTTGAAGGCCCGGAGACTGCATCTATGTACCATCCTGAAGAAGGCATGCTTGATAAAATGGAGTTTGAGGGCGGCCTTGATGATATTTCTCAGCAACATCAATTGGTTGTTGAACATCGCCCTCAAACAGGTGGAATTTCACAAGATGGGGGATGGCTTGCTCGAATCGCTGCATTGCTTGTGGGGGAGGACCCCACACAATCTTATGCACTTATATGTGGAAACTGCCATATGCATAATGGTAAAACAATAACTAGTTATTTGTTTGGAGTAGCATTTTGATGTAGGATTTCTCAGGTCATGCGTGTTCTCTTTTCATGTTTGCAGGGCTTGCAAGGAAAGAGGACTTTCCGTACATAACTTACTATTGTCCTCACTGCAATGCATTGAATAGACCTAAACAAGTGGATGAAGGGGTTCCGGGTGGATCAAATTCTCCAACACCAACTAGCGTGGACAATAAGGAGGTGGTTGCCAGTGGTTCCGTTGTTGACACGATTTCTGCTAGCGGTACTGTGGCTGCTGCTGTGGAAACAACATTGGAAGGTAGTTGAAAATTTGTGTGAATGTGGATTTGAGAGGTTATAACTTATATTTCCTGATTGTTGCGAAGTGTAAGAAGTCTCTTTGTAAACGTATCTTTGAACATGAAATTTGATATACATTTGCTCAACAGCCAATATTTTCTACTTTTTTGTTCTTTAATTGTTTGTTGTGTAGCATCAAATTTCGCCAATTTCACCAACTTCAGAAAAAATTATTCACGAGTTTAGACAAGTTGATATTTTTGAACATTTCCTGTACAATTCAAGGTCAGTGCTTCTCCTTCCAATGCCACCATAACTACCCGCAATGCTATCAAATACATTATGAAACTAAGATTCTCTCTACATAAATCTAAGTCATAAATATCTTCGCAAAATCATCCCGCCTTCGGATCAATTGTCATTTACGTAGAATTTAAGGTCAATGCCTACCTACATAATCATTCTGGAGGCTAGTTTCATCTTCTTTCTTCGATATTGATAACCCTTACTTGCATCACGATGCACATGGGAATGCGTTAATGACTGGGTGCGAGCAATGAGCATGAAAAAGCCCAGTTGGCAGTTTTAATACAACACAACTTCAAATCTTCAACGATCATCTGCAAAAAAGTACTAACGTTTCCTCCATATACCCAGAAATCCATTTGCAAGAGACTTCAAATTTTCCCAAACTGATGATTTTCCTTCAGGTTCTGCATCTTCACTTGGCTCTCTGTACAATTCCCTAGGTAAAAAACAATGACGAATTTTTAGCAAATCATGGAAAATACGAATTTCCATGTAAAAGTATATAGTAATTTTTGTAATATAACTTGTCAATAAATCGGATACTCCCTCTGGAACCCTATTCTATATAAGTACATGCATATACATACACACGGATTTCAGCCTGACTAGAGGAAAAAGAATGACAGATGGCAAATTCCATCAGGTGTTTGTGTCATAGCATACCTATTCCAAGTTTAGGGTATAGTTCAAATATAATAAACATCACAATATGAAAGTAATCTGAGATATTGCTGACAGGGCACCGGATAACTAATCCAAATTTTAGAACACACCGACAAAACATGTCACATTATAAGCTAGAAATAATGAGAATTACCTTGATGACTTCCCTTTTTGAGCTTTGGGCTTCAGACGATCAAATTTCAGCGTATCATCAGATCCTGTCTCTTCTTTCACATAATCCTCTGGCTTCTGAGGATGTGAATGCAAAATTTTGTCGACTTCTCCTACTCCTCGATGAGGTTTAGTAGCAACATAGTTGGAATTTTGATTCTCCAGCGAATTCTCGTTATAGATTTGACCGTCTTTACTAATATTTGCATCGAATGTAGATACATTGCCTGAAACTTGTGCAGCATCAGTGGAAGAACCGCTCGACAACTCTTCAGTCGACATCTCATTCTTCTTCATACTATAATTTCCCACTGAACTTAAATCTTTTGTGCCCATGGATGACATTTTAGAGTTGTATTCCAGCTCCTGAAGGATCTGCCTTATGAAATAGTAAGAGCCACCAGCCTCTTTCATAGCCTTAAAGGCAGTTGGGAACTTCCCTGCATTCATGGCTTTATACCTGCCAACCAGTAGAACATATTAACTTATATATTACAACCCTCCTATAGAAATATCATCAATAACATAATAAAAGAACTCCATAACCATACCAAATTAGTTCTGACACGCACCACTAGATTTCTGAATGATTTATCTAGAGTTTTTAGTCCAATATAACTTAGGCGAGAAGTCTAACAAACATGAGTAATGATCGTAAAATCACACAATTGCAAACTTACTGCAATAAAGGAGTATGGCTACCCCCTTCATTGGGTATGCGTGTTCAGCAAGGCAAGAATAGCACTTGATTGACATCTTTGACTAATATGATTTCTGAGAGAGTATAACCAAGTACAAAACTTGGATAATTTCAAGGCATATTTATTGTAAATTTGGCAAACAATTCAGCAACTATATTGATGCAAAAGACCATTTTTTGAAAGTAAGACGTGGTTACACACTGTTCCATCAGTTGAGAACAAAATAAAATACTGAGATTCCATTTGGCATCAAGCATCAGCGTCTCTTCAAACTGATCATAAGAGGTCCAAAGAAATACAAGAGATACTCTACATAAACAATGAAAGAACACATTCCGATGTATTCATATTCAGCATTTGCAGAAAACAATGTCAACATAAGCTTGCAACTGAAACGAAAGCAAGGGTGAAAGAAAGATACTTGTTAACAAAATTTTCCACCATGGCTCTGCGTTCATCCTTTGAGACCTTTTTACGAGATTTTTTGACTTCGTTTGTATCAGAAGGAACAGAAGCAGAAAATAATCTTCCACGCCACTTTATAATAGAACTATGCCCAATACTGGATGTCTCAATGTACACTGTGATGCACCCAGATAGATACATTATTAGAATAACAGAACACCAAATTATTTCTTGACAAGAAATTTCATAAAATTCAGTGCTTTTCTCAAATTAAAGAGATCGTGCACAATATATATATATAATGCAAAATCATTATCATGTATAGCTGAAGTGGAGTAAGGGTCATATTTGGTATCTAATCTCCAATCACAAAAAACTGGGCAGAAACTTTATTGTAATAAATATGAGAAATATATAAGCATGAGTCTACATCTTAGTTTCTGAAACTTTTAATATTTCTGACAAGTAAAAATTTCTATAACATTTACCTTTAACCAGCACACGCCAGTTCTTCGTGGAAATACATTTGAAAACAAGAAAAAATGAAGTGACTTGCATACATTTTAACACTTAGGATTGGAAACCAGAAATTATTATAATTACAATCAAGTTAAAGCATAGGACATCTACCAGCAAGGGAAAAAAAAGAAAAAGAACATAAGAGTATGACATCAAAGATGAACTACTATGTTCCTTATCCATTAATGCACAAGAGCAGCTAAACAATGACTGGGGTTTAGTCGCATCATGATTCATAAACCATTCCGCTTCTGCTGGGCTTTGTACACTTTTTCACCTATCTTTTTCTAAAACTTATTTCTATTGTAGCTCAAAAAAGGTAGAAATATAAATGAATGTTAGATCTCATTTTAAGTAAGCGTAGATGCAATGCCAGATTTTTTTTTTCTTATGCTCCTACCAATGCGTTGATGGGGGGTTTGACATCACCGCTTACAACGAGGCGGGCGTGAAGCACTACCTAAAGAGTTCCATCAAGAGGAGGAAGATAAGGCTGGAAAAAATAACTACATGTGGAAGTACTCAATAAGTTATTATGCAAATCACTCGTGGAGGGATTATCTCTATTACAAGATGTAATGCTAGTTTAACTATCCAGTTTATTATAAATTGAGAGAATACAAATTAGATCGCCCATGCATTATGATTTTCTAGCCAATAAATTATTTATACACCTTATGGTATCAAAAAATTCAGTTCCAGCTCCAAGTTGATAGTACATTCAACTTAACTAAAAAATAATGCAGTTGTAGCTTTATTTTCAGATAATTTTTCAATTAACAAATCAACAGACAATTTTTTTTTTTAAAAAGTGCATAAATATAATTATACCTTGACGGGGATTTGCATTATGGCGTCGAAATTGACGATAGTGGCGGACGTTGGGAGACCAGAACATACTCCGAACGAGTCTCATATCCACTACAATAAAGAACGCCGGTTGATTTATACTTCAATTCTAAAGTAAAATGTTAATTGGTGCAAACACACTCTACAGAAATTAAAATAAAAACGAAGAAAGAACGGGTAAACAGAAAAGATCGATCTTCAAATACCAAAAGAATTGTCGCGGTAGCGTGCGGCGGAAGTTGCGGAGAGGAGTGGTGTAGGCTTGTAGCAATTACCGGGCGCGACAATGGGGTTTTGAAAAGGGGAACCTTAAACCTTAAAACCTCAGGGCCTCAGGCTCGATTTTGAAAATTGAATAGCTTGTTTGTTTAATTTTGAAAAATAGTCCTTTCAGACATGAATTGTTTAACAAGGACCAACTTGGAGAGGAAAATGAAAAAAAGCCTTGATTACAAAATTCTTTATATTTTTCAAAATGACCTCTTTTTCTCATCATATTTATTCAAACGAAGAGGCTCACCAAATGTTTTTATTTTTATCAAGGATCTTCGTCAAGTTTTTATCGTGTCATTTCAAACCTATTTTCATGCTACATTCCCTTCTCGCTTCCCTCTTATCCTAAATACATGTTTAAAATCTCAACATATCATTTTGTCTTAACAAATAAGAAGACGTCAATGCATTTTTGACATATCAAAACATTATACCTTGTTATTTTTTTCATTTTTTAAGAAGAAATAATGTGTTGAAACGTAAAAAATGACCCCCCCACCCCCCCCCTCCCTCTATCATACAATCTAATAGTCAAATCAACCCGTCGAGAAAATCTTGAGTTACTATTTGAGAATTTAATAGACTCGTGAATTCTTCTCAAATTCACAATATAGAGATTGAAGGGAATCTTGGAAGACTGGATGGGGAAATTAAAATAAGAAAAGGGATTAGAGGCACACATAGGATGAGCAACGATAATAGCAATAAAATTATTTGTACAAAGTTGAGTTACCTATCAAAAAATTTTGTACAAAATTGAGTTGCAAAAGTTGGGTTACAAAGTGTGTTGACAAAATCCAGACCGTTGATTTTAAATGCTTTAAAAATCTGTTTTAACAATAATTGATGTAGATGTTATTTTATCAACTAACTTTTTATAACATAACTTTGTACATGTTTCATCACTCTTTTGACCTATAAACAAAGCATTTTGAATGAAATTTTTTAAAATTAGTGTTATATTTTGACCATTATAAAATGACCAGTTTGAAAAAAAAAATGACTTTCTTTTTGAGCTGATTTGTGTTTCAATCAAGTAGGTTGACTCTACACTTACACTAATTTTGAGTCATCGTAACATATATGACGAAATCCTCCAATAGTATATGTTGAGAAAGTCCAATCAATTTCATATGGGGCAAATGATATGTTTACAAGGCTTGGCCAACTCCCACCTATTAGATCAACTTGTTGGGAAGGAATCCCTACTCGAAAGATGTCACCTTTTAACAACAATATTAAAAAGATGAAACTCTTTAGAGCCTGTTTGTCTACCATTATTGGTAGAAAAATGGAGTAAGGAATAGTATTTTTTGGAGAATGTGTGGTTGAAATTTAAAGTAACTTTATTGGTTTGTGTGTGAAATATTTTATTGAGTGAATATGTGGTTGAGATTGTTTACTGTAGAAAACAATGTTTATAAAAATGGTAGACAAACATGGGCTAATTCCAAATATACTGTCCACGAGCTTTAACTTATAATTACTTCTTCACGCGCTCAGGCTTTCTTCGCCTTGTGCTGCTTTGTTGGGGGCAGGAATAGAAAGCGGAATATCCACGCAGCAAATATTGCTCCTACAAAGGGACAGATCCAGTAAACATAGAATTGCTCCCATGTATTGTGCTTATTATGTACATACGCCCACCCGAATGCCTGAAATGATATTAGCGGCGTGTTCGGTAGAGATTAAAATTGGATTAAAATTGAAAAACTAGCCATTAATGTTGACTTTTATTAGACGAGCGGGACCCATAATGGCCATATTTTCAATTTTAATTGGATTTTAAGTTATACCGAACAGACCCTAGATATGATAGACAGCCAATTATAACACAAGCTTCGCGAAAAATAAGAAAGAAAGAGAGAATTACACAAAATGTTCTGATATTAGCACGCTTATTATAAGAAACTAGACTAAAGCACAGCAAATCCTTCCCGAAGAATATATGAAACTACATGCAATTTGAACACACGGGTAGTAGATTCTCTCTGTGAGGCTAAGTTGTCCCATGTAAGCCACATTAGAAATATCACAACTAGAATCTGAAAACAATGTTTGGCAACTTAATTGATCGGCGCGAAAAATCAGTAGTATTCTACACTAAGAGACTTCTAACTGCACATGCTCGAAACTATCACTTAGCAAAATATCTTCTAACAATTTTGAAGATAGACAAGTCAGTTTAGGGAAGAAGAGAATCAAGAAACAAAATGCAAATATAAGACTTCAATGAACGATTTTGACTTCCAGATTCAAGAAAACATACACAGAAAGAACGATTTGACCGCAGTTACAGATCAGAAAGCTTATAATGTCCTAAAACTTACCTAAAATTTTATTATATAGCCAATATCTAGAGAAGAATTTTGACTACTTAATTACTTCTTAAAAATGTTAAAAGTTATGCTTCAAAAGTTCTCTGCACTTTTTCTAGTTCACGATTTGAGCTTAGCGATTTGCATATGTAACTAAAGAGAAGTTGAGATCAGCAAATTAGTAAGCTAAACATGAATCTAAATTAATTATTTGGCTTTGTAACAGACTCTGCCCCATTCATTAGTTTGAAGACATGCATGATTCAGTAGTTTGAAGAAAAAGGAGCAAATTTAAAGATATACTCTTTGAATTGGAAAGTTAATAAGAAAATGATTGGTTCTTCCAAAGGAAGGAGAAAAATCCAATCATGTGGAAAGATATCAGAAGTTAACGAAAGATGGAACTTCCAAAACCAACTTTAAGGCCAGTGTAAAGGAAAGTATCACTGCATGCTGGGAGGTCCTACTTTGGGTGACGGCAATCAGTTACAGTTTGGTGCATAGAGGAAAATAGAGAAACCTGGTAGTTGAGGATCTCAATAATTTGACATCCCACAACAGGACAATAATTAAGGGATGAGTGGACCCCGTAAATGTAAATATGGGGGCCAAATCACATTACTAATGTCAAAGCTCAATCACATTACCAATCTAAACATTTTGATTTCAAAAGAAACACAATCATGTACCATCTCAATGGGAAAGGTAACTACTATATTCTAAGTTGGCTTTTGGGATATGAAATAAAAAGTTAAAGACGAAAGGTTCGGCAGATATGTTTTCCTTATGTGCTATAGGAAGGAGAAACTCTCACCTCGTGCTATTTTGTTTCTTTAATTTTGATTAGTCAGCAATTTTAAAGGATTTAGGTATTCTACAGTAATCATAGATATATCATCGTATAGTTTCAGAATCTAGCAAAAGAACAGAATAGAGATGCACCACTTACATTGGCAGGATTCATAGAAGGTCCAGTATAACTTGAACCGGCAACAACTAGCTAAACAGTTGACATGGCAAGCAACCAATTCTTCACGAGTGGGTTGCTTGGACCCCTAAGGACGATGAGAAGGACGGCAAAAGTGATTGTGAACGTCAAAACTCCCTCAGCAATGGCTCCAGTGTGCAAGTCGACCTTCAAAGAAGGACCCCCAAGCATGTGTTTGTATTGTATCGGCATAACCTCCATAATTGCAACGGCACCACCTACGGCACCCGCTGCCTGTCAAGGATACAAGAACCAACTTTACCATTCTCATTCCTTGCATAACATATACTCACCTCATGGCAAAGCGTCACATTAGTCACCGAACTTTGTTTTCTGCAAACTCGTTATTCAAGTTTGCTCTTTGTTGTAATTTGGTCGTTCAGTTAAATCTGTGATTTTTTCTACCAAGTCGGAAGTTCATTTTTTCTATCTCGAATTTCATTATATCTAGTCCAGCCCTCAGCAATCTAGATTTTC